CTGGGATGAACCAATTGGATGAAAAGCTTCAGTGCTTCATGAAGCTTCATCTGCCCATCACTACCAAACAGGCAGGCTAACAAACCGAACACGCAGTGAAAGTGAGGGTAAACCGACGTTAACGACACAACAACAAGAACTAACTGACAGAGATTAAAATACACTGGCAGGCACATGAGGAAACGAGGAACAGGTGGGCACACAGACTGCTTGACTGATTGACATAAGATTTCAGTATTTGATGAGGATAAATCAAAAATACTTTTGCATTTACTGACTTGTAAATAATTTTACTTGTTGACATTATGATGAGCTGCCTTAGATATTACAGGCTCCTGAAATGAAGTCACTTATGTTTAAAAATACAACTGAACTATATGTGAACGTCTGATGTTTAAATTCATATTTGCCCAGATTCCCTGTGTCTGCAGTGACGTGTATTGGCTGGCTCACACAAACATGTATACAATCACTTTGTCGTTGATGCTTCACCAACAGGTTGGACGTCTGTTTATTTTCAGTGTTAGACAGAAATGTGCTGAATGTTGTTCCTCTAATGCATCATTTTCATATGATGCATTAGAGGTATTCCCTGTGACAAGCTGACATCCGCCAATAATAAATGTATTTTCTATATTCTTATAGTTTAAGTAAACATATTAATTTGAGATTACAAAGACAAATACATGTATTACAAACATGTTAATATTAGTTTCACCGATATAATAGAAAGTATAATTATTATTATAATTGTGTTGGTTTAACATAAGGTAATTAAATTAAATACAATCTGCATAATAAATGTAAATGTAAAGAAACATTTTATGATGTTAAGATGAAAAAACTGTAAAGACTTCAGGTTTTATTGCAGTTATAAAACAGAAAACAAAGTTTGACTAAACGTGACTTTATTACATGTAACTGATGTACATATTTTTTTCAGTGTGATTGGCTGACGATGTGTTTTGCCAAACGTCTGTTCATCATCAGACACTCTGCATTAAAAGTATTTATTATGCTGTAAGTCACGATATGATAACAAAAGAGTTTCATCACAAAGTAAATCACAAAAGAAGCTCAGATGACGACATTTCAGGAGTAACTATCACATCACCTGATCTGTAAAAGAGTACTGACATCACCAAACCAGACAAAGGATTAGAACAAAGCTCTTCTAAGCAGTTTTCATCTGAATAATAACATCACATTTGTTCCTGTATTGATGTGATGAGAAGAAATGAGACCTGCTGAGGCCTCTGATACATTTATCAGCTATAGTAGGATAATGGCTCAGACTAAAGCTCTTTCAAACACCCTCTGAGCATCATCAGCGAGCTTATCAAGGAACAAATTCAGAATTCTGTAAGTTGTGGTGAAAGAGAGACCCATTGCTATTGGGATTCCAATAATTGGAATCCATCTGAACACTTCCTCTGCTGCCATTAATGCAGCTACGGACCCAAGTTGGACTATCACCTTAATGAGGAGATGTATACTTATTTCTACTGCAGCCAGTGGTGAAATGATGACAGCACGCAGATCAGCGTATGGCACACCTGTTCTGGCAGAAAGTCTCTTCAGAGACTGGATATCGAGACCAAACGCAAAAACATATTCTGTGACAACACCAACCAGCATAGCAAGGTCAACATCAATAGAAAGACCAGGAACTGGAACAGCTGCTCCAGCTGCAGACAGAGTAGCCCAGTATTTTATTCTGGACTTCAGAGCTTGTTTCTTCTTGCTGATGATCTCTGGGTTGAAGTTGGGCATGGCGCGCAGCAGAGCATCTCTCTTGTGTGCAGGAAGGTCTCTGTCTAAGGTCTGATGTAAGAGAGGGAAGTTGTACAGGTGGAGCTCAAAGCTGGACACCAGGAACACCTGTGGAGACTCGATGCCTAATCCTCTGAGTCCTGCGTCACAGAAGAAACACATAGTGTGAAGATTAAGTATGAAATAATAAATTATCTAAAACTAGGCTTTTCCATTCAGGGGATTCATTGACTCCTCTGACTCCACAGAGTTATGAAGGGTTATAGTTTAGTTGTGGATAGTTTAGAATAATCTTGGATCCTATCTGCTGCTGGGAATCATGGGAATGATTAGAGTGTTTTTTTATGTAAGATTATTATGAAGAGAAACTGCAGCCCAGAGAGTCTGAACAATACCAAACAAACATCGAGTTAGAGATTAACAGCAGCAGGCAGCTGTTCTTCAAGAAACATCAAACAACTAAAGTATAATGTTTGTTGATGGAGACAAAAACTGGAGATAAAACTGATTATATGTTTATACATTGTTGACCCAATAAATTAATTTGATTGGATTGATCATTTTATCTTGTCAGTCAAAAATGAACAAATAAATTAAAAATCTGTTCTCATCCTAACTTTTGGTATCAGACTGAAAGAGACAGTAGCAGTTTAATGAGTGATCAGTGTAATAAAGTTCAGCTGTCCAATAAAAGCCTGACCTCTCCAGCAGCTGCAGGAGGACAGATCTAAATAACTTTATACACTTGAAACATCAAATAAAGTTCATCCAGCTTCTCTCAGTGATTACTGATAATCAAAGTAATTTGTAATTTTTCTGAGTATGCGATGATGCAAACAACAGAAAATAAAGGTTATTCCATTCACACACAGCCACAAAGTGAACATTTTTAAAGAACACATCCAGAAATTAATCTCACACTGGGATAAATGATCACTGAACACTCACCTTTAATGCAGTATTCTCTGATTTTTGTCAGAGCCTCGTCTTCATTGAAGTCTTTCTTTCTTCCCTCAGCTCGCATATTGTTGTCAATCTTTGATCGAACAAAGTAGAACTTTTTCTTCATCTTCTGAATCTCCTGAGCCAGTTTCACGTCATTTTCTCTGAAGCGAGTGTCTGAGATGATGATGAAGAAGTCAAACTTCTGAAATCCAACAAGCTTGAGGTACTTATCAGCTGGAAACCTGGTGGTGCCGATTCCAGGAAGATCCCATAAAGTAACATTTGGATAGTTTGGATGGGGGTACGGTGTGACCTCCATGGTGGTTTCTGTAACACCAGTGGGAGCAGCTCCCTCATCATCATCGGACA